AAAAATAAAACACCATAATCCAAACAATTCACTCAAGCCTTCATTCATGAACATAACAGTCTATCTCAAAAGATGACAGCACCACAAAACTCCAAAGCCCACCCACCTGTGTTTTGAGTGTGAGCAACTGGTCAGCTAGCTCCTCTTTCTCTTCCTTGAGAAGTTTATGGATCTGGTTGGATTTGATGCGTTCGCTCATGAGTTTGAAGTTGGCGTCATCTTTCTCTCTGAGCTGCTGCATCAGCCGAATGTTCTGCTCCTGCATGTCCTCAAACGCCTGGCCAGTAACATCCATTTCACTTAGCAAAGCGTCTTCCTCCTGAGAGAGAGAATGACTGATTCAGAATTTCCATCAGAATGTTTGTCATTCATTTCTCAGTGTCGGTTTCATATATTTGTATAAATCAGAGCTCTACCTGCTTAGCAAGAGAGAATTTCTTATTGAGTATATCGATCTGCTCCTCCACCGAGCGGATCTTTCTCAGGGCCTCTTCGTCGGCCATCTTCTTTCCTTCCCTCCGCTCCCTCTCCTCCAGCTCTCGCACCCGCTGACGGAGCTCCTCTGCCTGCACAGTATAAGAACATACATTTTATGGCTAAACTACTTCGATAAATGATTAATCTGTTGGTAATTTCTAAAAATCTAAAATTGAGCTCTATATGGTTTGTACCTCTGACTTTGCCTTCTTCTCCGCAGCCATCAGTTGTACTTTATCTCTCTGTTCTTTCGGTGCCGAGCGGTACATATCCAACAACAGCTTCATCTCCCTCTGGGACTCTTGGGCTTTCCTGTATCATAAATCACAATCATTACCATCAGCTTCCTTTTTATCATTGTTAGCACTTCCCACAGTCACTTTCATCATTATAATCATCATTTCAATGACTTACTTTAGCTCCACCCGCACTACTTTCAGCTGCTCCATCTCTTTGCGTTTGGGTCCTCCAATCACAGCGCAGCGTTCAGCTGCTAGGTCTTCTGATTGGCTGCTGCTGGCTTTCTCC